CGCACAAAGCTGATCAATAATCTTCACTCTCCAAGTTTTGCTAAACCACCAAACTCTGATACTCTATTAGCGTTTAGCAACTTAGTATTCTAAGCTTCATTTGTGTAAACATCACAGTTGTGATATAGTTTTTGTAGAAACATTCACACACATTTGATTATATCTTTGTAAGAAAGTGTTGCCTTGACAAACCGGATTGTGGTTTGAATCAAGAAGGTTTTAGCAGTTGCTAAAGCAGATTTGTATTCAGTTGAATATAGTGAATTAAGACCTCGTTGGAGAGAGGCGAAATCACCTTGAACGGGTGGACTGGAGTAGTTTGAGATCAAACGAACCAGGATAAAAATACCTTGTCATTTGCTTTAAGTTTCCAGTTTTACAATTCAACCCCCCCCTTCTTGTGTTTTTCACCCCTTCAAAAAGTCCGTTTGACCGATTCTTGAGCCAGTTTGAAAAATCAAGAAATGCCTGAAGCTGAGATTTCTTGTGGAAGAATGCGAGGGCAAATTTTGGGGTACAACAGACACGCTAGAAAAAGATTTCAAAGGAGCAGATAGAGTCAAGCAAGTTCGCTTGCAGACTCTTCGAGGAGAAATAGAGAGAATGAAGATGAAGGAGACAGAGTCCATGTCAGACTACATCACTCGTGTGCAGACGGTGGAAAATCAACTCAATCAAAATGGAGAAGCAATGACTGATGCTCGTATTGTCGAAAAGATTCTGAGATCTTTGACAGATAAGTTCGAAAATATAGTATGCACAATAGAAGAGGCGAAGGATCTTTAGACAATCACCGTCGAAGAAGTCGCTGGTTCACTTGAGGCACATGAACAACGCAAAATAAAGAAGAAGGATGAGACATTTGAGGATGCAGAACCCAACAGAGACGAAAAGACACTTTTATCTCAAAATTGGCGTGGGAGAGGACATGGCCGTGGAGGACGTAATGGTGGTCGAAGTTACCAAAATAACAACTTCGACAGAGGACGTCAAGCCAACAAAACTGGCATGGCAGAGGACGTGGCTAGAAAGGTGGTAGGTCGAATTACAACAATATCGAATGTTACAAATGTAACAAACAGGGGCACTATGCGAAAGATTGCAATTCCTATAGTTGCTACAACTGTGGTAAAGTGGGAAATCTTGCAAAAGATTGTCGACTCAGAAGAAAGATAGAAGAAACAACAAATATTGCCCTAGAAACAGAATCGAATGAAGGATTTCTGTTAATGACTCAAAAGGAAGCAGATGCAAAAAATGACACTATGTGATACCTGGAATCAGGAGCAAGTAACCATATGTGTGGTCATAAGAACTTGTTCAAAGAAATAAAAAAAATAGAGGATGGTTGTGTTTCCTTTGGAGATGCGTCAAAAGTAAGGGTCGAAGGAAAAGGAACAATCAGTTTCTTGCAGAAGGATGATTTGATAGGATCAATCCAAGATGTGTACTATGTACCAAACCTCAAAGCAAATATTTTGAGTCCGGGACAACTCACAAAAAGGGATATTCGATAATCATCGAAGATCAAAGTTTGCACTTAAAAGACAAGTCAGGATGTCTGGTTGCTCAAATTGAAATGGAGAGAAATCGAATGTACAAGTTGAATTTGAGAAGCATTCGAGAAAAGTGTTTGCAAGCTAATGTCGAAGACCAAGCATCTCTGTGGCATCTACGTTTTGGTCATCTACATCGGGCTGGACTAAGGAGGTTAGCAAAGAAAAATATGGTGTATGGACTGCCAGACGTAGAATTCGAAGAAAAGTTCTGTGAAGAATGTGTGTTTGGCAAACAGACAAGAACCTCATTTCAAAGGAAAGCAGAATATCAAGCTAAACAAATTCTGAAATTGATTCACATTGACATATGTGGACCAATTACCCCAGAATTCTTCAGTGGTAAAAGGTACTTTATATCCTTTATTGATGATTTCTCAAGGAAAACTTGAATGTATTTTGTAAAAGAAAAGTCAGAAGCCTTCGAAGTATTCAAGAAGTTTAAGATAATGGTGGAGAAAGCAACAGACAGACACATCAAAGCTCTTCGATCAGACAGAGGTGGAAAGTATACTTCGACAGCCTTTCTGAAGTACTGTGAAGAACAAGGCATAAGGAGATTTCTGACTACAACATACTCACCTCAACAAAATGGTGTGGCGGAAAGAAATAATCGAACAGTCCTCGACATGGTTTGATCAATGCTTAAGAGCAAGAATATGTCGAAGGAATTTTGGGCAGAAGTTATACAATGTGCAATCTACATTTAGAATAGATGTCCATATTCGAAGTTGGGAGATTTAACACCTCTAGAAGCTTTGAGCGGACAAAAGCCAATTGTGTCTCACTTCAAAGTGTTTGGAAGTGTGGCTTATGCACATGTACCTGATCAAAGAAGAACAAAGCAGGATGATAAGAGTCAGAAATACATACTCATTGGGTATGATGAGAAAACTAAAGGTTACAGACTTTTCAACCCAATAAACAAAAAGGTGATAGTGAGTAGAGATGTTCGAGTAAACGAAGGAAGCAAGTGTGACTGGAACAACTCGGCTGGAGTCATGGTCGAATTACCAGGTGTTATATCGAAAAACACTTCGAAAGAACCATAAGACTCGAATGATAAAGATGGACTCTCACATCCCAGGTTGTGAAGTTTGCAAGACTTGTATGAAAACACAGAAGAAGTGCATCTCGTATATTTATTGGCAGACACTGAAGATGTCCGTTTCGACGAAGCAGTAAGAAACAAAAATTGGAAGGATACTATGAATGAAGAAATTAAGGCCATCGAACGCAATGATACTTGGGAACTAGCAGAGTTACCAAAAGGAAGTCAAATAATTGGTGTGAAGTGGATGTTCAAGAAAAAGATAAATGTACAAGGTAAAATTGAAAGATACAAGGCGCGACTTGTGGCGAAAGGATACAAGCAGAAAGCAGAAATCGACTATGATGAAGTGTTTGCACTTGTTAGGAGAATGGACAATTTGACTGCTCATATCTCAAGTTGCTCAATATAAATAGCAAATATATCAAATGGATGTCAAGTCAGTTTTTTTGAATGACATGCTTGAAGAAGAAGTTTATATCGAACAACCACTTGGATACATGAAAATCCAAAATAAAGGAAAGGTGCTAAAACTAAAGAACACACTTTATGGGCTGAAGCAGACACCACAAGCATGAAATACACGAATTGACACATACTTCAAAGAAAATGGATTTCAGCAATGTCCCTACGAACATGCCATGTATGTGATGAAGGAAAAAGAGAAAATATTGTTTGTTTCTCTCTATGTCGATGACTTAATTTTCTTGGGCAACAATAATCAGATGATAGAAGAATTCAAAGACACAATGATACAAAAATTTGAGATGACTGACTTAGGCCTGATGAAATATTTTCTTGGTCTGGAGGTTCGACAAGAAGAAATAGGAATCTTCATCTCACAAGAAAAATATGCAAAAGATATCCTGAAAAGATTTAAAATGGAGAGCTGCAATCCAATTTCGACACCAATGAAACCAGAAACAAAGCTTTTGAAATTTGATGGGGGGGAGCGTGTCAAAGCAAACAAATTTCGAAGCTTGGTGAGAAGTCTTCGATATCTCATATGCACAAGTCCAGATCTTTCGTTGAGTGTTGGAATTGTTAGTCGTTTCATAGAAGAACCAGTTTTTGCATACTGGAAAGCTCTGAAGAGAATCCTTTGATATATCCAAAGAACTATGTCACTTGAAATATTTTATTCAAAAGCAGAAGAATACAAGTTGATTGGTTACTCTGACAGCGATTGGTGTGATGACACAGATGATCGAAAAAATACTTCAAGATATGTGTTTTTCGTGGAAAACACTGCATTCACCTGGATGTCAAGGAAATAGTAACTCTTTCGACATGTAAAGCAGAGTATGTGGCAGTATTTTAGTACGTATGACATGCAATATGGTTGAGAAGATTGCTGAGCAAGATGGAGTCGAAACAGGAAGATGCAACAATAATTCAAGTCGACAACAAATCTGCAATCTGAAACACGTTAGACATTTCTACAAAATCATTATTGAAAAAACTATTCGACAGAGACAAGAAAATGTTAGACATAATGAATCTAAGAAATATTTAAATTTATGAAAGAGTCTTATTAGTTAAATTCAAATCTACATTACATAGTGCAAAAAGCAACAGAGACAAGAAAATGTTAGACATAATAAATCGAAGAAATATTTGAATTTATGAAAGAGTTTTATTAGTTAAATTCAAATCTGCATTAGATAATGCAAAAAGATAAATTCTCTTTAAATAGTAGAAACTTTATTTCTTATAGACCTAATAATAATTAATACTGTAAATTTAATATATTTTATAAAAATAAATAAATTTAAGTCCACTCTCATTTTCTCTCAGTGAAAAATTTAACGATTTGATTTTTTCAGTTTAACATTTTATTAATGTTTCTTAAAAGAAATATCTTGAGAAGAAAAGAGAGCAACAGAATGTAGTAGTTTATTATTATTATTAACATTCATGTCATTATTATTAACATACATGTCCTCTTTAACCATAACAATAACACATTCTTTGAACTAACTATCCACAATAGTAAACAACATCACAATCAAAATCCAAACACTTAAACAAACACTAGTTTAAACAAGATACATAGAACTATAGTATTTCACACAAGAAACTCATAACACAAAACACATTCTTCAATTAGTTGATTCCTGAAGTCTTCTTTCACCACCACTTTGATGACCATGTCCAACCTCTCCTCCTCTTCCTGCAAAATCAAACTCACACTTTCATACCTCTAAAATTTCCATGCATGAATCATAATTCATATTGAAACCAAAAAAGCATTACTAATAATACTAACCTTGAGTTGCTTCATTCTCACCTGGTTTCCCAAACCAAGACTCAACAGTATCCTTAACCATATCAACCATTCCCATGCATGAATCATAATTCATATTGAAACCAAAAAAGCATTACTAATAATACTAACCTTGAGTTGCTTCATTCTCACCTGGTTTCCCAAACCAAGACTCAACAGTATCCTTAACCATATCAACCATTCCCTTTCCAAACTCTCCTTCTTTTATCTCTTCATCCCAACCTCCTAACCTTCTCTTCACCTCTTCACTCTCAGTCACCTTTCCCCTAACTGGTTTTCTCCTGCCCTCATCAACATCATCCTCTCCTCTCTTGTGAAGAGCATCAGATACAACTTTCTTCACATCCCTACCTTTTCCTTTATAATCACCATCATAAACTTCTTCCACAGTTTCATCTACATTTTTCTTATACAAACTCTCAGATATTTTATCAGAAAGTGCTCTATCTTCTTCACCAGGTCTTAGCTTTTCAGACACATAGTCTTTTATAGACACCCCTTTATCTTGTTCTATACCGCCACTCCATCTTTCATTTTCCACCGTTGTAAATTTTTCAGAAACTGGAGATAACTTCTCTGTCAAGGAAGCTGCTATTCTGTTTCCATATTCTGCAGGTGACACTTCATAAGAAGAATCTCTCTCGGTTTCACCGAAGCCCAGCTTTGAAGCTACTGTGTTTTTAGCTGATGCAGCTTTATCAGCTATTGCAGATGTTGCAGAAGAGATTTTCTCAGTATAACTACTTTGGTTTTGGTTCTGGTTTGATGGAGTTTCACCAGTTTCTCCTTTTTCACCATATCCAAGCTTAGATGCAAGGTTATCTTTAGCAGTGGCGACTTTATCTGTTACTGCAGATGTTGCAGATGATATTTTTTCTGTATAACTGCTCTGGTTTGATGGTGTTTCACCAATTGTTGTTTCTCCCTTTTCACCATATCCAAGCTTCGAAGCAACCATGTCTTTAGCAGCTGCAGCTTTGTCAACAGCTACAGATGTTGCAGATGATATTTTGTCTGTAAGACTGTTTTGGTTCGACTGTGTTTCACCACTTTTAGTTTGTGTTGTTTCGTTCTCACCATTGTATCCAAGCTTTGAAGCAACCGCATTTTTAGCAGTGGCGGCTTTTTCAGCTGCTGCAGATGTTGCAGACGAGATTTTCTCTGTAAAACTGTTCTGGTTCGACCGTGTTTCACTACTTTTGGTTGTTTCGTTCTCACCACCATATCCAAGCTTTGAAGCAACAGCATTTTTAGCATCTGTGGCTTTGTCAGCAATGGTAGAAGCTGCAGAGTACATTTTGTCGGTGTAACTGTCGTTGCTTTTATTTGATAAGGTCTCCGTTGATTCATTGTGAAGCTGAGGTTGATCTTCAGCTGTGATGTTTGTGTTAGTGGTGTGAAGCTGAGGTTGATCTTCAGCTGTGATGTTTGTGTTAGTGGTGTGAAACTGTGGTGTAAACTGATTATGGCTTCCAGCAGAAGGGTATTGAGTTCTCATGGCACTGAAATGTTGTGGAGAATGGTGCTCACTTGGTAAATCTGCTTTAAACTGGTGATGGCTTCCAGCTGAAGGGTATTGGGTTCTCATGGCACTGGAATATTGTGGAGAATGGTGCTCAGTTGGTAACTCTGCTCTTAGCTGATCATGGCTTCCAGAAGATGAGTACGGAGTCTTTATTTCACTTGAATGCTGTGGCAAGCTTGTAACATATTGGTGTTGAAGTTTTGGCTCAAAAGATGGATACTGAGTTTTCATTGCACTGAAATGTTGTGGCATGTTTGTAGCGAATTGGTGTTGATGTTGAGGCTCATGAGATTCCATTGCACCTGAACAATATGTGTCATGGCTTGTTCCAGAATAGTGTTGAGGTTTTGGTTCAGTTGGTATCAGTTCTGGTTTAAACTGATCATGCCTTCCAGTAGAAGGCAGTGGCAGATGGCTTGTTGCAGGTTTAGGCTCATTTGGTATCAACATTGGTGTAGTTTTTGTTTCATTGAAATATTGAGGTAAATGTTGGTCATGGCTTGTAGCAAAATGGTGCTGTGGTGTGAAATGATCATGGGTTGTAGCAGAAGAAGGGTATTGAGTTTTTGTTACATTGGAAAAATGTGGCAAGTTTTGGTCATGACTAGGGTGTTGAGTTTGTGTTGAAGTACTAAAAACTGGTGTGAACTGTTCATTGTTTTTAGGGTATTGAGTTTTGATCTCAGAAGAAAGTTGTGGTAAGTTCTGGTCATGTGTTATAGTTGATGATGGATAAGGTGTTTTGGTTTCTCTAGAAAGCTCAGGTGGAAATTGGTTGTGAATTCCAACACAAGGTGAAGGGTATTGTGTTTCACAAATGGTTGGAGTTGGAACACTTTTTGGCTCATTTTGTTTACACATTCTCTCCATAGATTCTTGAATTGGACTAATATCAATTTCAGCACCACCTATTACCAAATTAGTCATAAACAAAACATTAAAAATTTGACGTAGTTACTAATTAATCACCATAAGTTAACTAATTACCTGTCCCAGTTGGATCAGTGACCTTGGTTTGATAATTTGCTGGAACATTTGCTTCAAATCTACTTCCTGGTGCATGAGGATCTTCCTCCAAATTAACCTTAGAAATCATTGTTCTCTCTTCCTTCACAAATGTTCTACCTGGCTCATGCTGATGATGTTCTTCTCCCATAAGAGTTTTTCCTCCAAAATCCACTCCTTGGACATGTGGTGTCACATTTCTAACTGCAACACTATCATAAACTGCAAAAATAAACATAAATAAAACTTTAGCTCCTATAAAAAATAAAATACATTAGAAGTAACAAATAATCACTTTACTTGGTGCTCCATGAATTTCTGGGTCTTGCTCATCCTCATCATCTTCCTGATCCAAGTCATGATCATCAGGAATATGTTGTTTTTCATACTGATATTGTTCATGCTCCTGACCAGGACCATGTTCATGATCATCATCATGATGACCATGTTTTGGTTTTGTGATTGTGTCCTTGATTTTCTTAGCCTTTGCCTTCACTTTCTTGAGAACCGATTTCTTCTCATGCTCATCATGAGGGTGTTCATCTTGCATTGCTCTAGAATCCATGATTGAATGAAAAAGTACTAGTATAACAACTTTTCTTACTCAACAAATTGTGATAACTTAATAATTCTTGTGAGTTACACACACAATATTAGAGGGTTTATAGAGAAAAGAACAGAAGAATCTTTTGCCACCTTTGCATGGCTGTGGTGTCTCAAAACAGTGACACGTGGGGAGTTATTAAATATGTTTTTTATCACTTGACACGTGTTGGATAGTTTTATTTACGTGTCTTGTTCTCATACACCATGTGTATAAATCTCAAAACATTGGAAATAGGAACAAAATAACATTGTTCGAATAGATAATTTGTTAATAAATGCTTGTACATTTTTTATATTTTCTCTGCGAATCTAGAAACTAGGGAAAGTACACAAAGTATAATTTATTTTCAAAGTGGATATGATCAATCATGTGATTTGTGATACCACAAGTGTCTAGCTAGTTCGGTTTTGTCATGAGCTGTATTTGGGTGCCTAATGTAATGGAAGAGCGAACCTTTGATTAATTATCTGCATTGTTTTCGAAAGTTGCAGCTTTTTATGCAAAATCAGATAGAAAATTAACTATTATTAATCAAAAAAAATTAATTATCTCTAACAAGTTTTTGTTAGAATATCTGAGTTAGGTTTAACTGAATCCTATAAAACTAGTGTATAAGATGGGGATTGCCTCCACTTATAAATACATGTTCAAATTATATATTTATTCGATATGAGACTCTTAATATTCTCTTTCAAATTTAAGATTGGTCTGAAACGTGGAATTAAATAGTGGATGGTGTGATAGTAGAGTGATCTAACAGATCTTAATCGGACTCTGATATCATATTAGAGTTTGACCTAACTCAACCTTACGATTGCTCCAACTTATAAGCACATGCTCAGACTATATATTATCCGATGTAAGACTCTTAACGAGTTTGATAAGTGCGTCAATTAAAATTTGTCTTGATCTTGTGTTTTATTTGTAACACTCCTCACTAGTACAAAAAGGTTCATTTACACCGTTTTTTATTAAATTTACACCCCAACAAATTTAATAAAAATTGGGTGTATATTCATCGGGTGAGAAATATCTAACGCATTTACACCAGTTTAAAAAATTGGTGTAAATACATTCTACGTTACACCATTTTTTAATAAAAATTGGATGTAAATAGATTCTACGTTACCATTTTTTTATTAAAAATTTGGTGTAAATACGTTCTTAGTTACACTCTATTTTAATAAAAAGTAGATGTACATAAGTTCTTATTTACACACTATTTTAATAAAAATTGGGAGTACTTATTTACATCCTATTTTAGTAAAAATCGGGTGTCAATACATTCATAGTTACACCATATTTTAATAAAAATCGGGTATAAATATATACTAATTTACAATATTTTTTATTAAAAATTGGATGTAATTATCCCTTTTTTAAATATAATTTTACAACCTTTTTAATAAAAATTAAGTGTAATTACACCCTTTTTTAATACAAATTTACACCCCATTTTAATATAATTTACACCTTTTATGAATGAACAAATTATATTATATTCAACTCCATTTATACTCTATTTCATATGTTATATTACACCATATTTCATATGTTATATTATACCCTATTTTAGTTAACACATTTCTTCATATTTCATGTACAAGAAATCATAATATTTCAAATACTATAAGTCATGCACATAAAAGTTATATTTCATGTACTAAGTTATAATATTTTTCATATTTACCAAAAAGTATACAAAATCATATTTTTGTTCTAAGAAGTCATAATATTAAAGTCATAATATTAAAAACAAAATATATAACCAACTTATAATATTTCATGTCACTTTTTTCATATATAAGCTTTCTTCTTTTTCTTTCGCTTTTGTTTTGGCAAAATTTCTATTTTATTATCCTCTTCAACCATTTACATTTGGTCTTGTAGCAGGCTACAGCAAGAGATGAAGAGTTACAAATGATGTTTGAGTGATGAATCAAACAGTATAGAGTGATTCGTATAATACTTGAATGGAATCGCCTTTTGTATCTGCTATATAGCAATAAAGCTCCCCATTACGTGCTCTATTTGTTTGGGCAATAATCCACCGAATAAATTAAACAATCAAGCCATAGCTACCAAAGAAAATTGTGGGAATATTATATAATGTTATTTCATTTCACACTTATACTATACCTTCCTTCTACAACTTGAACATTATTCTTTTCAGCAGAAAAAACCCTAAAAGAGAGTGTGGAAACTGAATTATCAACATATCCGGTGCTTGTGGAATATCATACGTGCAAATGAACTATGAAAATTGTTGAAATAACATAAATTTGATGAATCAGTTCTCGAGATGTACCTTGAAGAGAGAATTTTTGTTAGTGCAAAATCGTTTTGGAGAAGATGACAGATGCACAAATTCATTATGCAACACAATGGACAGTGAACACGGTTTCCGATTGGGAGAGTCTGATTTAGTTATCGACAAGGAAGGAACTGAGGCGAGAAATAAGATCAGAGATGAAAATAAATTAAACTGAGAAATGAAATCAAAATCTTTTTATGAAGGACCATCTATTAACTGTTAACTGTTTTTTCAAATCTAGATTGAATACCAAATTCTTTATACACATCAAATTCTTTATGCCAATTAGACATTTTATTTTTTAATAATGTGTATGCTTTTAAGATCTAGTCTTTAAAGTTTTTCACAGGAGCATCAAACCTCAACTCAATTGGGCAAAGATCATCAAACATCTCTGCTCCAACAGATTCGGTCTGCTTGCAGGACTTCACTAAAACATGAAAAATAAATGATTCATAAATGTTATCAGTGTAAGAATAAGAAGTGTTATCTATATCTGGCTTTGAAATTTTGATGATAACTTTATATGTTATATTAAAGAAAAATTGTATACACCAATGGTTTCGTCTAGTGTGTAGTTGTTGCTATAATGTTCTGACTCTGGTACAAGGCATGTGACGTCATCAGGTTCTGAACATATACTCTGGAAAAAACACGTGGTTACATGTTTCAGCAAAGTCAAGGTTTTGAACTGATCTTCTGCAACGTGTCTTAGGAATGTTAGTACAAGAAGTTATGATCGTGGCTTTATGGTTTAACTTTGGAGGCCTTCTAAAGATTTATTTCTGTGTGTTACATGTTCTGAAGATTATGAATACAAGTTTATGTTGAACAAGTTCTGATGATATGAAGAAAAGAAAGTTCTTACAACCAAGTGCTGAAAACTCTGAAGACAAGGTTCTATGTGACAAGTTCTGAAGACTCCAGGACTTAAGTTCTAAGGCTTATGAAAGATTCTTCTACAACAAGCTTCAAGGTTCAAACATTTAAATATTTGAAGCCTCTGTAGATCAAGAAGAAAAAGTTCAAAATGGTTAACGTGTGATAGTGTACAAAAGGTAAATAAAGTGACTGTGACCTCTACTCTTCTATAGTGGTGCAAGGATTGTTCTTCTGTACTTGACAGTGACTACTCTCATTATAACTATTGAGAACCAACAGCTAGATTTCCGATTTACCTTTCTACCCTTTCAATGGATCTCTTTTACAAGCTATAAAAGGAAGACATGGAAGCTGAAGAAAAGTAATAGACTACATTACAACGACAAATCTATCGGTTCAAATCAAGCTCAACAAAACTACACCAAAGTGTTGTGCAAACTCTGTAGAGAAATCATTTGTGTATAGTTTTATAAATAAGAAAGGAACTATTGCTTGTATCTTGCAGTAGAACACTTAGGTGTTCTTCATTATACTGAAAAGTTTATGTAATCTGCTTACAAGAAGCAAATCTGTAATACACTGAAAGTGCTCAACTATTGTTGAATCATACCTTAAGAGTCTGAGTGAAGGTCTGGGCTCAAGAAGACTCCTGTTACGGCTTGAGTGGATTTACAGTAAGGATCGACAGACTTATTGGGGGTGCCAATAAGGTTGATCAGACTTGGTATGGGTTGTTCTGTAATCAATTTGATTATAATGGATTAAGTCCTTATTGAAGGTGAAATCATCCTTGTGAGAGTGGACTGGAGTAGCTTAGTTAACAGAGAATCAGGATAAAAATCATTGTGTTTATTTATTTTTTTATGTTCTAAGTTCACTTGGTTTATCACCATCGAAAAGATTTTATTTGGTGAAACCCAATTCAAACTACCTTTCTTCTGTTTCACACCTTCAATTGACATCAGAGCTCTGGTTCTGGTATTGATAGTTATCAAATGCTTAACTGTGTCAAATAAAGATTCAGACGAGTTTTTCGTTGAAGAAACACAATGGTTGAAACCACTCCTATTGTTGTTGCATCAGATTCAAATGATAAAATTTATAACGTTAAACCTTCCATCTTTGATGGAGAAAAGTTTGAATACTATAAAGATAGACTAGAAAGTTTCTTTCTAGATCATGATATTGATCATTGGGATATAGTAGTCGATGGCTACGTACTTGTTGCCGGTATTTACCGCAACAAACAAAATGGCGCTGTTACCGGGGATTGGTTCTATTGATTTTGCATTGCGATAATTCTTTTATTTTTGAGTTTTGTAATTAATGTATATGTTGTATAGAAATTGTATATTAACTTGTATATGAGATTTGTCCATATATGTGTTCTCATGTTTTGTTATGAATTGTCTCGTTTTCGTAGTGTTTGTTGTGTGATTGTTAGGACACTTTCTTTAGGTTTGCACGGTGTGACAATACCATAGCATGACGAGAGGAGGTTACTAGCTTTCATAATAAAGGCGTCGAGCTTACGACGTAAAACAAGCATGTTTATTTGTATTTGTTTATGTGTGTGGTGATTTGTGTTTTAACAAGTTAAAAAAGGAAATGTTCTGAATTTCAAATCTTCACTTTTTAACTTGTTAATTCATTTTCACCCGGTTTTCATATCGTTATTTGTATTTGTTTTGTTATTTCAATTTGTGTTTTCCGAAATCTTGTCGTGTTTAGCTTGAGGAGTTTTGTTCATTGTAAATATTGT